ATTTCGTTGTCGTCGGCGAGATCTTTTAACTCTTTCAACGTAATTTCGGACATCTAAAGAAGGCTAGCATAAGAAGGATAAAAAAAGTGTTGTTGCAAACGAAGACGAGTAGATTAAACGGAGCACACCATTATGGATGGCCACAAAAGCAATATTGGAAATTCTTTTATTAAAACTTAGTCACATTTCATATACGGACACTTGTATTCGGCACCAACTTGATTAACAAAGTGAATGTAGAGTCCTGAGTTTGTAGCAATTGGAGATGCATTCTATTTTTCAAAATAAGTGAATGATGGGTGTATTGCAGATAGATATTCATAATAAGATTATCAAAGTTCAGTTTTGTAAATCTTCTTCTCTTTGGAATGCTTGCGGCTCTTTTCTTCTGCTCGTTTTTGTCGATCCATCCGCTCCTGTTCTTCTAGTTGTTTTTTGGCACGTTCTTTGTCGTAAGGATTTACAAAACTGCAAATTTCGTGCGATTTAAAAGATGTACATTGGAAGGGAAGAAGAATCAGCTTACTTCTCAGGTCTAGGAATTATCAGATGTTGTTGCGCCATCAAATCCAAAACCTTGTATGTAGCGCTGTCACATAGTCCTGAATAGAGGAAGACATTGCAAAGAAAAGAAAACGTGACATAAAATAAAGGAAAGTGGGTAAAGTACCGCTATCTTTAGCATAGCTGTACGCCCATACGACAGCTGTTCGTAGTTTACGATTCTTCTCCATTGTTTTTTCCAAAAATGAAAATCTCACAGACAAATCGGCAAAGAACGCGATATTTTCAAGAACCTGGAAAGAAAGTAAATAATCACTTTGCTACCGCAGGAACATCGAGAACGAAAATTGTTCACAATCAATGATCTTGCAACCGAACTATACTAGGTTCTGAATGCGTAGCAGTATTTGAACAGATCCTATTACATAAGGAATTAAATCTGCGTAATCACTTAATCGGATGTTAGCACATGAGCAATGTTACAACAGCGTTTTCATGGGTGAGCCTCTTGCTTTAGCAAGTCATTCCAAAGGTACCAAAAATACGTAGGAAAGATGTTGGTAAGGTGACCAATTCTGTGCCCAACTTTTTTGGGCATGTGAGGATGCCTCTGTGTTTGAGGTCAGGCTTAATAATGGGTAGACCGTAAAACATACGACTTAATCATGAAACAACTCAAAAAGTCAAAATGAAAATAAAAGATACCTTAGATAAAGCATTTCGTAGAGTTTCACTGTCTTTAGGAAACGGATCCGTGGCGCGATGACCGATCCGCTCTAGAGTTTCACGATTTTCCTCTAATATCTCCTTCACATTTTTAACCACCTAAACCGAGATTGGATAAAACATTGGAATTACAACAAAAAGGAAAAGGTATAAAGCTCCCCTACCCAAACAGTTAGATTTACTCCTTGTTTAGGTGGATCTCTAGAAAAACGAAGTCGCTAATAAATTGATAGTGAAGGATCACGGAAGAACTTAAGAGTTCATCTCTATTCATTCGTTTCATTTCCCCTACGCTGCCCAAATCAAGGCATGTAACAATATCTGAGAGTTGTAGGGATGGAAAAACATTTGAGAGCTTCTGATTATTAGCTCCTCTTGACAATAATTAAGGAACTATCAAAAGCTTACTTCTTCAACGTAACGTCTTCTCTTGGACTCTTCAATATTAACAATTGACTCAATAGCACCAAGTTGATCTCGTCGCTTTCCTTTGAA